AAAAAAATGATGTATAAATTTATTTTTTCGGACGGAAACCTTATATTTTACTTTATTTTATGTTTTCTACTTTAAAAATTAATCAATTATTTACTATATATATTACTTTTAAAGATTAAAATTATTGCACTTAAGATAATTTTTAACAAAAATTTTTAGCAAGAGAATTAAGCAATAATTCTTAATTGTCATTATTTTTTTATAACAACAAGTTTTTTCTTTGGTTACTTTTTTTTTATGATTTACTATTATTATCATTATTATGTATTATATTTTCATTAATACTAAAATAGTTGTATATTTTTTAATAACATTTTTTTTGTTTTCTTTTTTTTCATAATTTTTCATTCAATTTTTTTATTAATGCCTAATAATGTTTTTAATAGAAGTTGTTTTTGGTTCAATTAGCTGTAGACTGTGTATAAATAAATATATTCTAAATTTATGCATATATATATATATATATACATATATATACATACATATATATGTGCATATAGCTTCGGCCGAATAAGAAAGTGAATGAAATAAAGTGAGCCACAAATCGCGAAATTAATATATGTGGGTTTCGTAAGATTCAAATTAAGACGGACATCTCTATATAAATATATCATATCGTACGTAATTCATTATCATTTCTAATCGCATAAACTAAAACTGAAATGTACGTGACCCCTTTTCCTTATATGCGAGTCTGTTATTCAAAAAAATGGAAAAGTATGGATTAAGTCGAAGGGTTTCTCATTTCATTACGGGTGGACGTATCATTTTGTCAATTTTTTAACCTTAACTTGATGAGAATCTTAGTCATGGGAAACTAATAGATACGTGAGAGAAGAAAAAGAAGAAAATCAGGTTTTCTTTAGATAAAATTTGTATTTGCATTAAATTGCCAATAGTGAACAAATATAGAAATATGCTCACATAGTAAATATCTATAATTTCGTATTAAGATGATATTCGATTTCCGTACACCCATCATAAGAACTGTCTTGAATGCAATGAATGAATAGTTCTTAACGGCCCGCCAAAGTACTGATGATATTCTGAAGTCAGTAGTCAAGCAACAAACCCACTTAGGAGCGTGTCGTGATGTGATCATTTCTTCTCGAAAAATTGACAAAAATATACACAATAGTATTTATGTATGTATCAATGTGATGCAAAAAAAAAAAGGCGGAAGCTTCAAATTTGGATAATTTTCATTCGCAAACAAGACTGAAGACTTAAATAATATGCGTTACTAAAATGTCTAGATTGTCTCGGGAACAGCAGGCCTCGCTATTCAGAGGAGATCAGAAGTAATGCCGACTTGCTTGGCTTTTACAACTCGGGTCTAAGGTCTTGCTTGAGTTGTTGTCTCATCGCCATAACATTCTTTTCATATTTTCAATATGTTTGCGTAAACAATATAATTCAAGTTTTTCTTCGATTTGAAAACCCGTCAACAATGATTTCCATCAATTATCGAAAATATGTTACTTAATAAACTAAAAAATCGAATTAGATGAAACTTCCCTCGTTGTGAGTAAAGACAGCAAAAAAAAGGAAAAAAAAAAGGAGAAAAGTCCTTATTTTTTGAACATCGTAGTACTTTAAACTCTTTCCATTGTTATTATTATTATTAGCATTATTATTGTTACTATAATAATATTTATTGTAAATATTTTCTTTTTCTAATTAAATGTAAAGTTTTAATTATGCCTATGCACGGATTGATTTTCTTCAATTTCTTATTCAGCGTCAACTTTTTATTTATATATCGTTTACTTTGTGTTACATTTTTTTTTTTTTTTTTTGCCTGTTTATGCTTAAAAGGATACTAATATATTTTGTACATTTTATTAATTTTTATTATTTTTACAAGTTTATTAAAAAAAAAACAGAATAAAACCATGATATAATCAAACAAATCATATAAAAAGAGGCCAACGAACATCTACTGAAATCTTCTTCGCTAAGAATGTCAGATAAACGATATGTGCTTATTACGAAGAGCAAAGCGAATTTTATTTTTTTATTTCTTTTTATTTATTTATTTTTTTTTTATTCTTTAAATTTAAACACTATCGATCTGAATTTAAATACTATCGATCTGAGAGACAACGTAACAATATTTTTCGTTCACTCCCTCCCGTCTAAAGTTAACTAAGTTATAATGAGTTTGGTGAGTAAATGTTATCGCGTTAAGAGGTTAAGAAAATTTATTCATAATATTTAAGAAGGAAGGTATTTTTTCCAATATTTTTGTGTTAAAATTATGTTTTTTTCCGTCGGCTGAATCGCTTTAAACACCGATTGCCTGAAGACTTTATAAATAAATTACGAAATGCTTCACATGCTTAATTAGTTTTTGTTCCGGTAGAAGTAGTTCTTTAGAAGCGAACTCAATTCCCTATGCCCAATTCTCCTCACGTTTTCCCTACCCTCTTCGATACAAAGAAGAAAAGAAATCGAAATAATGCAGCTCGAGAGAAAATAAAATGATCCTGGAATGTTTCGATCTATAGACCAAATCTTTCCTATAAGCGAACGCCTATCCTGAAACAATATAAAACGAGATATAAAAAATTCTCAAAAAAAAAGCAAAAATAAAAAAATTCAAACGCTAGACTATGTATGTAAATTGATATAAAGTCGATGGGATTCGTTTCCTGTTTTATGCTTGTTTACTTAAGTTATTCTCAATTTCCTTTCGAAAATAAATGAGAGAAATACAAATTACAACAACAAAAATGTGGAAATATCCAAAGGTAATCTCTTTTCCGAGCAATAAATCAAGCTGAGGTTTGATCTCGATTTGATTTGATTTTGTGCAGCCATAATATCACATCACTTAAGATATTTCATCGCTTCACAAAGCTCAGACTCTTGCGATAGATTATAATATGTGAAATTATTAATACGCTACAGTTGGGAAGATTGGGATATTGGTATATTCGATTTTCGCTTCCGTTCATAATAAAGAAAAAAGTACGCAACAGAGACCCGTAAAAGTTCTAGATAGGTTTCGGGAATCAGCTTATGTGGAGCTATAAGAACCTAAAACTTGGCATGTATACCCCAAGACCGTAGATGAAGGTGAAATTTGAAAAAAGGGACCTTACATCCATAATGAACAAAAAAAATGGCAGTAAATAACTTTTCGGAAATATTAATCAGTAATTTGAGACGAATATTTCCGAAGGTAATCTGCTGCTTTTTAAATTGCTTTAGGTAAGCTGCCAGGTAGCCGACATACATAGGCCAAATTTTGAAGAGAAAATTATGCAATATATATAATCTATCTATAATGGATTTCGATTTGAAAATTTTAATATATATTTATAATTATCCTGATCGGCTAACTATATTGCGTTAATTTTTTATATACGCTGGCCTGAGATCGTTTTGTCTGAACTTTCCTTGTTTATATGAAATCCTATATCTTTAGCCTTTAGAAATTTTACTTCTCGCCAGAACTCGCAAAATGTATCAAAAACCTAAATGAAATATATTTTTTTCGCCTTCGGGATTATCTTGACAGCAATAAAATATTTCTGTGATCTAAATGTATATGTATAACGGCATCATTGATATAATTTCCAATTTCTTATATCGTTTGTCTCGTTTCCACCACTAATCAAAAGTACATCACAATCGGTAGATAGACTAAAAGATGAAGTCAAAGGAAAAAAACGGGAACTACGGATACAATGAAAGATGCCGTTGTAGGGGGGGAAGGGAGAAACAAATACGATAATCAACAAATTCCTTCATACACCCACACACGCACACAAACATGTGTATTACACGGAGAGAGAGAGAGAGAGAGAGAGGAATAGCTTTTTGATAATTCAATGCATTGTCAATTTTTGTTTAGATTTTGAAATTTTAACTGTTTAGGGCATTACGTATTTGCAAAACGTTTAGAGTAATGATGTACGGATGCGTTTTTCCTATCAAAAAGCATGAAAAAGTCGAGTCTCTTTAAATGAATTACCGTGCAAAACGATGGATGGATGGATGTATTAAATAAACATGATTTTTACTCTTTAGTAGAAGTTTTTTTTTGTGTTTTTTTTTTT